TAGAAACTTCCAGAGTATATGGAAGTAAATACAGCTTTCGAATTACAAAGCAAGATTTTCAGACACGTTCCTATGAAAGCTGTAACTACAGACGATCTCACAAGAACTTGGCTCTTCATTTTTCCAAGCTGATTGCACAAGACAACCGTTTTTATTGGCACATATTTTAGGGAGCAAAGGTTCAAAACACACTGAATTTGCACAGCAGAATCTGATCTCTCATTAACAAAAACAAGGCACATCACTGAAAGAGAATGAGAAATGGGCAGCCATTTAGCCAAAATAGGTGGCTCATAAAGAACAGGGCTGAAGGCTGAGTCATCCTTAAGGCTCGATTTAAAAAGGTACTCCAAGATGCTAAAGTAGCTGTAGAACAGTTAAATCACACAAAAGACACAGAACTTGCACTACAGATCAGAGGGCAGGGGGAGAGGAATCAAATCTGGCAAAAAAGTCTTCATCAGCTCTAATCTGTATCAGCAAGTCCTCCTGTTAATTATGTTTCTAAAGCAAAAAAGACTACTTTGCTTATCTAAAGAGCAGGAACAAAATGAATGTTCCAGCAAATGATAGGAAACAGACCAGCAGTGAGCACTGTCTTTTTGTCCAAGGACAGACATTGTGGGCATTAGCACTAGACTCAGCAACTTCAAAGTGACAAACACAAAATTTGGAGACAGATACAACCACCCAGAGGACAGACTAATATTTATCCAAGTTGTCTGATTTTGTGATGCAGCCAAGAAAATGAATTTGTTTATATGCATGAAAAAGTTCTTTTGACTAACATGTACTACTCTACAGCAACTCTAACCAGCTTCATGACTCTACTGTGAATAAAACTGCTTGGAAGCGTCTTTTCTTTTCATTCTGAGAATGAATTTTCTTTTCCAAGAATCTTGGAGCAGAGTCCAAGGTGACGATTTGTTTCTCAGCAGAAGTATCTACCTAATTTTTCCCTAAGCATTAGGTCTGCACACTCACTTTCCTGTTCTCTGGAGGTCTAGATAAGACTATTCCTGGCACATGTAGATTTCAGAGAGGCAATGAAGCACTGAATCTTCAGCATCTATGGAGGACATTAAATCCAGTACTTGTTTGCCTACCAAGACAGATTGCCCTAAGCAAGTTGTTGGAAAAAATGGTCGGACACAAGCCATTTTTTCATCTCTTAAACATGAAGCAAACACACAGAACACATACACTCCACATAGCTACTGCTAACCAAAAATCTCTACATATGCAAGTATGTACCCCTTGTGGAACATAAGCATGAATAAGCATCAAAAGGAAAAGTCAGTTCTACACAGTAAATAAACAGGCAGCAAAGCAAGGTGAGAAATACTGAAATATTTTCCCTGAGCTACTCTGAAGTTTTAAAGAGGACAGGTAGTATCATGGGAACTTTCACATTTTCACAGATCAATTAATGGATAGCTTTGTATATAAGCCTGCAGCACATTTAAACCACAAGCCTAATTTTCAAACATATCTAGTCATTCTTTAGGAGTATTTTCTTCATAACAAATATTTAAACTTGGAAAGGTAAACTCTATCAAGACACGTTTTTATTGCATTATCTACTATCCAGTTGCTTTTTTTAAAAGTACATAAATATGTGTACTTTTTTTTTCAACTACTTGGTTGTTAAATTCAGGTTTTCATCCTGCAAGGTGTCAAATACTATAAATAAGGCAGGACCCATCATTAGCAAGAGGCATTTAATAAAAGTAACTGCTAAATCAAACCATACTTGTAAACACCCAAAGATAAATTGCTACAGGACTGAACCACTGCACTGAAAGTATTAAGATGATATTACCAGTCCCAGCAGTACTCCTTATAGTAGCTGAATATTGCTATATCAAAATAACACAATACTGGGCCCCTTTTTGTGTCATAATTATTATTTTCCTAAATTCATACTGAAACCTGGCAATGACTTCAGTCACTGCTTAGAGAAGACCAGGCAGTGACAACATCCATTTTAAGCAGTATTTCTTTTCACTCAGCTAAATAAAGCACAAAAGGCAGCCACATCTTGTAAGCTACCGAGCATGTGACCTTGTATCAAATTTTAACAGAAATGACCTAACAAGCTCCTCAGAATTAAGAATGCATGATCCTGATTGAGTAAATATTTTTTAAGGGTAAGAGAACAACACCAAGACCTTAACATCAGACTGCCGAAAAAAAGAGGTTCTCTGTTTATTATCAAAACAAGCACAGGAAAAGTGGCACAGAGATTAGGTATACTTTCTCTCAAATATACTTCATTTCCTTGTGAGACGGTCCTTAGTAAAAACACTTGGAATGAGCATTTTCCACTGATTCTAAAGATTGCTGTTATGAATTCACAATTTAAACCAAAATAGACTAAGCAAGGATTTTACTTGTCTGTCTGCCTATTTTAGAGAGGCACCAAAAAAAATAAAATCTCAGTCACTAATTTGGACTGATTTTAAAACAGAGGAATAACAACCATTTGATTTAGTAATCTTATGACTTATCAGTTAGTTCTTCAACAATCTCAATTAATGCTGAAAGTATATAATAAACTTAGGTCAAAACTTATTTATAGTCTTCATCTCAACCCAATTCCCAAGATACATGTAATGGAACACCTATCAATGGAATTTGACACCAATTAAATGGGGATAAGAAAAGCTCTCCCTTTTGGTTCTCCCCAGCAAGAGCCAAAAGGAATCTGATGCCTACCAGTCAGGATTCATGTCAAGGAGCTGGCAAGAGTTACCAGCTCCTACCTAGTATGCCATATAATCAGTTTGTTAGTGCATTTAATTTTAAATTAGAGCCTACTTAATGAGCAGGTTGTTTCTTTGGTTTTAACAGCTTTTACTTCACATGGCAAATACAGTGCAAAGAGTTCAATTTGCAAAGACTTGGCTAGTTTTGTTACTTCAAAGCCCAAAAAAGTTTTTACTTCTTTTTTACTACAGGGGTCACAGCATGTATTCTCCTTTCCAACAGGCTTCAGAAAATGCAAGAGGCACGAACAGAGACCAGGGATGGCACAGAAGCACAGAGAGACCCTGGCTGGAACCTCAGGAGCTCCTGAGCAGTGCCAGGCTGGCAGACAGGGACTCCAGACCGTGACTGCAGCACACCCAGGCAGCAGCACCCAGCCACTATGGGCCAAGCAGCGACACACAAGGACCCCAGACTGCCACGGTGCCATCTGTGCTTCATGACTTGGTCAAACATAGCCATTCTGGCAGAAGCTGTCTTTCCAGGTGGGAAAACTGGGGCTTGGTGAGTACAGGTACCAGGTCAGAGGCCATGACATTTACTGTGTTAGTATTTTTTTATTAGGGCACTTGTAACCAGCATACGTCTCTAGCAGTCTGGCTGGTGTCAGCCACACCTAACACCAGGAAAAATTCAAGAATTTTAATATAACAAAAACTGTCACTTGTCTAAAGATCACATCCCTTTTCCAGTTTTAAAAATACAATAAACAGTGAAATAATAGTAACTTTCATTTTCAAAAGCTGAGGACACTAGTCTCTGGTTTGGTAGATCTACCAGTGAAAAACCTTATTTTTTTCTTATAGCCTTTGACTTACTTGTAAGTACACACTTTTGTGTACTTCTGGGGGTACACAAAGTGTGGCTTTTTTATCAAAAGCAGACAAAAACTAGGATAAAAAACATCCAGAGCTATCTACTTGAGCTGAAGTATCTGTGCTGAAGGGCACAATCCATGCTGTGCCTTCATAAACACTGATTTATTCAGATCCACAGGAACTTTAAGTAAAATTGAATATTTATATAAAAGTAAATTAAAATGAAAACTTGTGGGTTTCAGGGAGGGGTTTTGACAAGAACTATTCAGTCCAAGTTTTACTAAGAGCTGAAGCTTCCCCTCTCAAAGGAGGCATACAAAGCCTCTGTCTGTCAACCACTGAAGATTTTTTTTTACAGGAGTAAAGATATTTATTACCATTAATTTCACTGTTCTATCATGGGTGAATAATGAATATTAAAATGACCCTTCTGTTTTCATAGTGAGTTCTACTAGCTCAAGCTCTATCAAATATTCTTAATATGAGGATGTGTAATGGTCTCAAAGCAGCATCTCATTGGAGACTGTGAGCTTTTCCCCACTTTCCCTTCTAAGCATTTTGGTTTACACCACTTCAGTTAAGAGAGCACCACCAGTAAGCTCTTCAAGAATAATTCACCATTTAAGCTGTGCAATGTGCATTAGCCAGCCTGATACAAATCAATGCATCTCCCAGTTGCATCTGAATTTCTTAGTTTAGTAGTATGCTACAGGAAAAAAAAACAAAACTGCTAGGGAAACAACTCTAGCACATGTACAGGAAATGGCTAATTGACATCTTCCCCATCCCCCAGAAGCCAAAGCTCCATCAGCTGCTGTAGACAGCAATAAAACACAGTTCACCTGGCAGCTGGGAGGAACAGGGTAAGAGGAGCAGTTACATGAATGCTAAACTAGTAAACTAGAAGGCTGAAGTTTGAGAGACAGAAAAATCCATGTATTTTGTTTTCAATAAACCTAAAACATCAATACAATAGATCCTAAAAATTGACACTTTAACAAATCTCAATACATAGGAACAAAATTTACACTTCCAATGTTTCCTGTCATTTACTCCTTTGATACTGCACCTAAAACACCTAAGTGGCATTGGCAATGTATGCATCTGAGTACCAAAATAAAGAATTCTCTTTGGAATAGTATAGTATATTTTTCAAATCTCTCTTTTCATTGGTCTCAATGCAAGGTTTAAAATACTTTAACAAAGAACAAAGATTTCAACTGACTTAACTAGTACTTCTGATTAAAGCACTCTTTTAATAAGACAATATCCAAATTAATTTTGTGTTTCTCCCCAACACAACTTGCAATTTAAATCTGGCTTCCGATCACCAATTGTTTCTTAATCAATAACACAAAGGCAAGTATGTATAGTTTCCAAACACATCACACCTAGGAAGAAATGTGCACTTACCAAGTGAACATAAGGCACAAAGTATCCAAAAAGTGCAGCTGGAATCCCTAAAGCCCAGATTCGGTAACTGAGAACTTTGAAAACTGAGAAGTTGCAAATCTTTTTCGCAGGAGGTAATTTGAATTTTCCCTTCTTTCCTCCCTCCTTGTCTTTGGTGTTGGGAACAAGAGGTTTGTATGTAAATCCAGCCAGGAACAGAACAAACATAAGGATGCAAAGGACCCTCAAGGTGTTGAACAGGTTGACAGAGTCGATGAGGACCTTCAGGAGGAAGGGCAGTGACACTGTGAACAAGCTGCTGCCCGCGGTGACAATGCCATTCACGAGTCCAAGGCGCTTCTTGAAGTAGTGCCCGAGAATGACCAGGGATGGCTGGTAGGCAAACGAGCAGCCACAGGCAAACAGGATCCCATAGGTGAAATACAGAGGTTCAATGGTGCTGTACCAAAAGAAAAGAACAAATCATTAGTGGTTGGTAAGGCAGTGGATGTGACAACAAAACAGTTTCACAATCAATCAATCAATATAAGTCACTACTGTAAATAAGAGTTTGTATATACTCATAGTTGAATAGCACTGTATAAGATTAATTCAGCAACTATTCTATCTCCTTCCACTGAAAAATTTCAAAGAATTCACTGAACAGGTAAAAAAAGAAAACTTACACTCAATTATAAATACATCAAATAGTGTGGCTCAAAAAAGTTTTAAAAATCCTTGTCAGGGCAAATAAGCAAAATGTAAGTTCAGCCATTGCTGGGTTTTTGGATTTTTTTTTCTCCCAAAGAAAATGGTACTGTTTTGATTTCTACATTTCTTCACTGTGCTAGGAGTTCAAATGTAATACTGAACTCTCCTCATGAACCCAGAAAAATCAAATAAGCAATTTGTTAAGAAAATAAGGTAACAAATGTGGCAAACATCATTAATACTGAAAAATATAATATTTAAATACTGATTACAAAAATTTCATAATGTAATATGTTAGTAAATTTTAGACTCTTTAGGTATTAACTTTTTTTTGACAAATAGTCTCCTTTAGAATAAATATTTTAAATTCAGTGTTTTGATACATATATTGAATATGCTAAGAAAGAACTAAAAAAATTGTTAATAAGGAATTCATTTCATCTTATAGTAAGGTGGGCCTTCATCATAAAGTTCACTACTATTACCATTTACTCAACAAGTGAAATAAAGCAAAGAAATTGTAATTGGTCACAAACATGTGACATCAATAAAAAGTACTTGTGCAAGATTTAAAAGATGTTAAAAGTATGAAGTAACAGCATTAGTATAATTAGTGCAATTAATTATAATTATTAATCAGTATAATTAGTGTTGTAGTATTAGTTAGTGAAAGAAACATTTTTTAACATTTAGATGGAGGCAGGATGCAAGCAATTTTATGTGAGCTTTCTGAGGTGGCACATGAGAGTTTATATAATTTTTTAATGCTGTGTTTACAATGAACACTCATCCCTTGTTTTATCAGTTACCATCTACATTTATAGCACTTCTGGAAAACACTAATATTTTTAATGTTTAACTTTTTTTAAAAAGTATGAATGTTTTATGTAGTGCTGCAATCTGCCAGAACCCCTGTGTAATAAAATAGATTCCACAAACGTCCTATGCAATTAAAGAACTTCTCAGAAAAGAGTATTTGGCTAACCAAGATCTAACCCCAGGAATTCTAAATTCTAAAAATAATTATTTGTGTAACATAGTATTGTCACTTTTTATATTAAACTATCAATTTCTGAAACGGATGATACACAACATAAGCTAGCAGAAACAACATAAGGGGGACTTATTACCTTTATTAATGGAAATTAACCAGGAGATATAAAACCAGAAGTTACAAAATGAGAGGAGCAACATCATACAGTGAAGACAGTGAACTTGTGCTTCCATATGTAAATTCACTCAAAGAGTCTGCAGCATACCATGCATATTAAAATACTGTCCTGCATTATAAACATCTCAATTTCCTAAGACATAGGATTTATATTAAGAAATTAGTGCAATGCAAAAGCAGTAGATCATAGTGACATTTGTCTGCTTTACAATATTTTACTTGTAGAACACTGACTTCTCTATCTGAACTATACTCCTTTAATGAAATGATAACATCACGGTCATAAATCACTTTAGTGTGAGTAACATAATGAAACACCAAGTATGCACATCAACCTGGCATGTACTCTTACAAAAATTCACCTCTGAAAGTGCTCTTCAAAGTTTAGTTAAGCTGAAATATTTGCAAAGTCTTTACAAAACAACTTGCTCTTGCATGTCTCTTCTGTGCCCTTGTTACAGTGGGTATCAAACACAAGAATGATCTTTATCTAGACTAGTGTGGTTTAGTATTCATCACTCAACATACTACTGGGAAGCAAGGCAGAAGAAAGATTTTTCCAAGACATCCTTTAGTTTTTATCTCACATTTCGTAAGAAGCTTCTTAAAACATATCAAGAAGTGGGGGGTTTACTTGTTTGTTTAATAAAATGAATTGTGCCAAATATGTGCACCAGGATTAACCATTCAAATCACAGCAGCTCACATCCATCTGATTCAGAGTACAAGCACAGAAAAGACATTTTCACAAGCTTTTTGCCTGTGTAAATACATTTACACCTAAGTGGAAAGATCTTCTGAATGTAGCTTGATTGTTCCTATGTTTATTCTGCTAAGGGTGCGGAGGAAAAAATCGTCTGAGAACTAGAGGTAACTTAATTATTTTCCTGCTACTCTTTACACCCTGCCTTTACTAACCCATTTCTGACAGTGACTAAACTAAGTAATTTCCTGTTTCCTCATCTTCTACAGGGTACATGCAACAAATCAGTTGCTCTTGAATTTCTTAAGATTTACTCTGACGAAGTTACATGCAAATGAAAAAGTGAAAAGAAACATACAAATTAATTGTAAACTAGAAGAAAAAAACCAAAACAAATCAGCTTTAAATATACTCAATATATGAAGGTTTTCTCTATCTCCGTGTTTGGCAATTGGACCAGCAAGAACAGAAGAAAATATCCAATCTCACTAGAATTTCAACAGCTTCCTACTGTGTTTTTATCACCACTAAAACTGTTTCAAAAGGAAATTACAGGGACAGAGCAGGAAGGGAAGACAGCAACAATGTTTATGTACCTGTTAAAAAAAATGTATATCAAGTAAATATATAAGTTTATCCTAGACAATGCTGTTGATCTTATAGCACTAGTCTTACTGTTGATATATTTATACATAGTGGTGCTTGTTAAATAATGTTATTTATAAACATGTTTTTAAAAATACTTTTGAAGCTGAAAGTTCATAAGTCATAATTTGACAGACAAAACCAAACCCAAATAAATCAAGTTTCCTAAAGATAATATAAAGTAGCACTGTTTAAGCCTTCTGTGGATTAGATCAACATTACAACACTAAAGAAACTGATAAAATACTTTGAAAGTTATGAATTTAAGTTTTTTACCTTACAAAAGAACTTGAAAGGAGTCCAACAAGCCCTACTGCAGCTCCAATAACAGCTACTTTTCGACAACCAAACAGGTCTGTGAATATGCTGACTATTGGGGAGCAGAAGAAGACCATTCCCATAGAAAGAGAGCTCACCCATGCTGCAAAATAAAAAAAAATAAAAAAGACAACATTTTAGAAACCAAGTGATTTCAGCTTTCAGTTAATATTTGTTTTCACCTAGGATTTTACGTTGCTGAACTAAAGCTGGGTAGCAACTGGGTAACTATTTTAAAAACATGTAATTACATCTTAAAATGTATTTACTTAGCATGTTAAAAAAAAGCCTAAAAATTTACATAATCAACTAATTTAGATTTCATCAGCTCAAAGAATCCAATTAACTTTTTTGTAGCTATAACTTCTACTTTTTTGTTTATAAACACACAGATATTTGTCTAGTAACTAACCTAATATTCAAACTGATGCCTAGGCCATTAAAGATGACTACCTTTGAGGATCCATATCCATTCTGACATAAGTTAGTTCATTTCACCTGACTTAATGCTGGACCTGAACAGGTACAGGTACATTTGCTGAGAAAAGATTAATAATTTTAAAACTTCATTACTAGATGTAGATTATACTGAACATCAATAATGAGTAATCAATAGGCTTTCAGACTGTAATACAAACATTAGGAATGTGATTTTACTTTAGACTAAACAAACTTGAGTTAGTAAACTTCTATCCATAATGTCACTACTTTTGACACTACCTGAGCTTTACAGACATTGTGAAAACTGGACTTGGTTTATTAGATAATTCAGATCCAATTCAGGTGAGTTCACTATAGTTTCAGCCTCAAGTGGGTTTTTTTAGCACAACTAATAGTCACAACTAATATTTTTCATATGTATAGTAGCATATATATTGGAAATGTCCCAGCCTATATGGGAGAAAAAAAAAAAAAAAAAAAAAAAAAAAAAAAAAAAAAAAACAAAAACCACAAACGGTCTGAAGGTCTGAACAGGAAGTGGGAAAAGCTGCTAATTCAAAACTAATTAATTGGAAAAAAATACTTTCATTTCATTTCTAATTGTACAGAAGACAGGACAATTCTTTCAATCGGAAAGAGTTTTAAATTTGTGTAATTGAAATTTTGTTTAGAATATTTTTCCTAAAAACATAGCTAACAATTGTTATTCAGTGATGAACGCAAATAAAATTATCTGGAAAAGCATATAACCACAGGACTAAATGAAGTATATCTGCAAGAAGATCTATCACTACCAAGGCTTAGGAGATATGCAGTTGAAGTGCCAATGAACCCTCCACATTGTCTAAAACCTCATCATGCAAGGCACTAAAGACAGCAAAAGAAGCCAACAAGCAAAAACTCATTTCTTCCAGGAGTTTACAAGTATATGAAAGACAAGAGAATAGATAGCTAGAGATAACCAGAAATGAGTACAAGTAACAAAACCTTTATTTTAGGGCAAACAATGCTTTCAACAAACCATGGCCTGTTTGGGGAAGGGAGGGAGGGAGGGATGAGTGTTACTGGGATTTTTTGATCATGTGACAAAATAATAGAGTTTCAAGACACAATCTAAAGAGTGAGGTGCTTTTATGGCCATTTCCTGTGTAGGACTACCCCATACATGATAGCCCTGCCAGCCTTGCACCTCTGCAGCAAAACCTCAAGCTGTATGAAGGGACAGCATAAGACAGTAGGTAGAGCAAAGATCCTCTGACACTGCTTGAATGGCAAAGACCAAGTTAATGAAAGGTCTAGTCCTTCCCTGCATTTGAGGAATGCTCAAGAGCACCTTGGGTGTGGCAGGACATAACTCCTCTGATATCTGTCCCCTAAAGGCTACTGATGGGACAAGACATTATACAAACCAGTTTGTAAACAGGATTCTGAAGGAGGAGATGCTCTCATACAGCCAGTTACAAAGCTTCTAAGAAGTCCAACTTCTACAAGACTCCTCATGCTTTTACTTATCTTTCCCAGAGTGAATCTGCAGTTTTACTGTCCAAAGGAAACTGCAAACAGCAGGGACAGGATCTCCATTTCAGCCTGTCACCTTCCCAAATAAATGGTGGCTACACCACCATGAACCATCCTCAGCACCTCTGCATGATTTGCAGGACAGCACGAAGAAACAGAGTCCCCCTCCTGCAAGGTCAAGAGGCAGCCAAGTCTTGAGAAGCATGCATCACAGGTTTCAAGTGGTATGAAGTTACCAAGGAATGGTTGAACCACCTGCCACCTTCCTGGCCAGGTACAAAAAGATAAAAAGGCAACAGATAAGAAACAAGCCCACCAGATATGACTGATTTTGAGAATCCAATCTCACATGGACCCTATTCATGGAGACAAAACAGGCAAAGAAAGGTGACATATGAAAACTAAGCTTCAGTAGTGTGCATAAAGTAACAGACTAAATTAATTTACAGCTACAGGCTGTGATTTTATTTCCATTCTCCTTAGTGAAGTCAAGGTTTACAGTGTCTTTTAATGGCCTAGACAGCTAATAAAATAATTGGAATATAAAAAGCTCAAGTGAAGACATTCAGCTCAAAACATTGGTTTTGTCTCTTTATGCTTCCAGGTACCCATGAAAAAACAATGCCTTTTTTATAATTTGATTCTCTCTTCTTATTATTACAATAATAACAGGGCAGAGCCTAAAAGAGAAGGTTTCCACTGGCTTTCAACACAACAGACAGTTAAGATAAATGATGATGCCTTATCTGAAGCATTTCAGAATGGAATGGTCATGTGGGAGTAAGTCCCACTGCAAAAGTGGGAGACCATGCTGCAACCTAATGAAAACTGGAGCCCTTTAAATTATTACTTCAGGTTAGTAGGTTGCTCTCATTAGCCTACAGAAATGTAATTTAGAGATATGGTTGGCATGTCTTGTATGAACAACTTTATTATTTATTGAAAAGAATATTCTTGAAGTTAAAATTCACATCTATACATAGATCGAGAAAATGTACTGCCGTTCTTCCTTTGTGAAGAAACCTTACACCAAAAATAAACAGAACAGTACATGAGTAAATATTTAAATTCCCTAATGCAAATAATTATTGCTGTGATATCTTCATTTTATAAAGAAATTTGTTTCTTTAAAATACATTCAATAGATCCAAGTAATTTTTGATCTCACTTTATTTAAGTAAGTTTTCAAGCACACTTTCTCATGCAGTATGAAAAATGTATATTGAATTGACTTCCACATTTTTTCAAACAGATTTTACAACTGTCCTAAGTAATACAAGAAATTACAAGTGTAGCTTGCCAGAATACTGAGAGCTCTCTAGAGCAGTTATTACATATTAATTAAAGTATTTCTCCTGCAGGCTACTGGCTGCCTTCCTGGCACAAGCTGGCCATATTCCAGAGCTGCTAATTCAGATACTAATATAGCACCTAATTGCTACATATAACTGCATTCATATTCATACACAAAACATTTTGATTACTATAAAAAAACCTTTTTCTACTTTAAGGACTTAAATATTCCTTAAGGCACAGAACATTAAGAATTAGCTCCTCAAAATATATAATTTTTTGTAGACTTAACAATTCCCAGGCTTCCCTAGAAGATGGAATAGTAGTCATCCTTAAGATAAAAGTATCAGACCAGAGAGCAACTGTTCTGTGCCACTGAAACACCTAATGGATGACAAAAAACTCGAAACTTTTTTACATGTAAGTCACAGCTACATGTTCTTCCCCAATCAGTTCACTGAAAACCTCAACATATATTCTGATATTTCTTTAATTATTTCTTGTGTTCAAAAGTCTACAGCAATGCAACTATATCACACACTCCAAAAATATGCTACTGTTCTACCATGACTCATTAAAAATTAAACCTTATTTTAAATAGTGCCTTTACTATAAATATAGCATCTAATATCTGAGCATTCTCAGAATTATGCCCATTGTCACAGATTACACAACACACATTCATCTGCCAAATTATAAACCAAGCTATTAAATTTATTAGTTCATTTTTTAGAGTCAAGCACTAGGATTTACAGGACAACAAAAACGAAAACATTATTATCATGTTCCATTGGAATGCTTGATCATGCATAAATTTAAATAAAGGCTACTTGTCCAAAACATTCTTGTTTAAAATCAAATTTTTCTAAGCATTACAGTAGGGAACTTAGCAGTTTTATCCTCAAGTGTCTTTCAAGTGGTTGGCTCAACACAGCAGTAACACCCTTCATTCTTTAACAAGCTTCAAGATTTTTTTTTTTTTAATATTTTCCCTTGAGATTGTTCTGGTTGAGAAAGGGAACAAAATGCTGCTGTCCAGAAGACAAGCAATATGAGGCAAGAAAAATAAAGGCACTTAGTAACTTCTAAAAGCTCAATAAGCTTGAATAATATTTAGCTTTCACTAAGTTATTATTTACAATTTATGCAAGCATAAGGAAGCTGTATGTATTCTCCCAGCTTCAAACCATTAATAACTGAGAGACTTCATAAGCCTATTATTATTTGTTTTTCTTTAAATATAAATTTGGACATTACTTGTTTTTCCACTGTATTTTCAATATTCTGGCAATTTCTCCTCCATGAACTGCCAAGCTTCCCTGGAACACTGGTGTATTTTCAGCATCCACAACTTCTTACAGCAAAAAACTCCATAATTTAAATATGTAATGGGTAAAAGACCTGTGTTTTATTATGGCCATTTACACACATGGATATTCTCTTCAGCAAAGCAGAAGATTGGCTACCACAAAAAGATTTGTTATGAGAATAATTTGAGAATTTGAGAGATTCTGTTCTGGAGGAAACAAAAGTAGTGTTGAAAGTTATTTCTGGAAATAATTTGCATGTCTCCAGCTAGTATTAATTAATGCTTTGCCTGTTAAATCACATTTATATGGCATTTAATTTTTAAAACAACAAGATACTTGCAATGCTGTGTAGATCAAAGATTGATTTAGCCCATAATGCTGTTTCTGACCACCACAAAGTACTTGGACAAAGACCTCTGGAAAAAGGGCTAGCATGCTTTTTCCCTACCTACATCCTCCCAATATCCAGCAATAAGCAGCTTAGAAACTGCCTAAGCAGAATGTTGCATCTAACTATTCAACAAGAACATTTAGTTCCATC